TTTCTTATGCTTGGCAAATGACTTTTACGAAAAACCTACAAAGTTATACGAACCACCAAGTGGAAGTATTTCAGACTTTCAAGTATGGTTTACTACAGATGGAAGAAAAAGAATAATTCCATTATACCATGCGTTTTACTTAGAACTTAGTTTCATATACAACTACTATCGAACGGTAAAAATATAACTTTTTAATACGGTTGAGGTGTTGGATTTGGTTGCCAACTAGACTGTGGTGCAGGTTCAGGCTGTTGTATAACAGGAGCTTGTTCTTCTGGTTCAGGGTCTTTAGGTATAATACCAACGAACTGACCTACTCTTTTACCAATATTTTTGACACCATTCCAAATTCCTCTTCCTACGGTTTTTATTCCATTCCATATACCTCTTCCAACATTTCGAAAGAAGTTTCCTATCTTACTGAAGAAACCCATTTTACTATATGTAAAAATCTAATGTCCGCCTAGTCTCTTACGTTTCCTGTTGAGTTCCATAGCATTCTTTAACTGGAGCTCATACATTCTGTTTCTCCTCTGGTAGAAAACATATTCTGGGTCAACTCCTGTGTTCGCGTCATCTGCATAAAGTTGTTTATATCCCACTTCAGGGTTTGTATAAAACTCTTTCCATCTCATATTTGCATACCATGGTGGCAAACCTAACGCAGCGTCATTTGACATGGCAGTTTGCATTTGTACATCTGTTGGCACTTGACCATAGTTTGCCATTGCAGTTTGTATTCTAACTTCATTTGGAATATTCTCTGGGTTTGGTTGTCCAGGTTGCTGTGCATTCGCTAAGTTCTGTGCGTCCATTTAATATTAGATAAAAATATCTCTTACGAGTACATATACTGAACATTTGCAGGCATTGGTTCATCTTCATATTCTCTGTACTTTTCTGCCACGTCAAATAAATAAATGACACAATGGAAAAAACTTAAACAAGTAGTCCTATTTCAAACCACATTTACTTACTAATAAAATTTCTTTGTTATGACACTTTCTCCAGTTTATAGGACCTCTCTCATATTCTATCTTGTCATATCTAAACTCATAGTCATGTATGTCCTCTAACCATCTCATAACGGTTTCCAAACCACTTTTATCGGATGTAAAGTAAAAGCATGGATGGTTATGTATAACGTCTAAAGTTTCTAAAGAGTCTCTCAAAGTCCAGTCTACTTGGTATTGAAAATCCCATGTGTTATAGAACGGCGGGTCCACTATAAAGAAAACATTTTCCTTGTCTTTATATTTTTCATACAAATCTGTCCAATGACATCTCACAAACTCTATACCCTCAATATATTTTTCTATGTCCTCTTTGAAAACATTTGTATAGTTAAGATATAAAACTTTTGACATAAGTGTTTCAATGTCATGAACTCTTATAGAACCACTATATAATAGTCTAGCAGATATACTATCCCAGTCTATATATTCTGCTTTTTTCAAAACCTCTCTCACAATATTTTTCTTATCTAATGGTATACGTTCCATCTTACCTATAGGTATCTTTTCTTTTAACTCTTTCAATATATTGTTTGTGTCTGGAATATGTTTGAGACGGTCCATATAGTTGTCGAAGTCATTGCATATAATCTTTGAGTCTGGGAATATTATATGACATAAATGGGATATATAGAAACTTCCACCGAACAAATCTACAAATGTTAGACCATTCGGTAGTTTCTTAAGTTCTCTTGTAATAAACAGAAATTCATCAAAAGTGACAGCTCTCATTTTTTTGACATTTGTAAATTCTAAATTGAATGAGAAAAATGAAATAATACTAAGCATAATACAATATTCTAGATTTAATTATAATTAGGAAAAAGTTAGTTTTGAGAGTACTTTTCATAGGCATATAGAATGAAATCTTCTGAAAAAGAATATCACATAAACTCATATTATTTTCTAATATATAACTATTTTATATAAAAATCAAATTCAATGATCTTAAAAGCGAAGGATAAACCTCACAATTTACGAATATAATGAGTGGGAATATTTCATATGGTTTTATGATAGATAAGCATTATATTCCCACTCATTATATTCGTAAATTTTGAGGTTTATCCTTCGCTTTTAAGATCATTGAATTTGATTTTTATATAAAATAGTTATATATTAGAAAATAATATGAGTTTATGTGATATTATTTTTCAGAAGATTTTGTGTTCTTCTTCAAAATTTTATTTTTTTATTAAAAAGAATCTTTACAAAATATACATTTACTTTAATTAATATTTTAAAACGTGCTCTATCAAAAGTTCCAAAAATTCAATATTTTAGCTTTTCTGAGGTGTCACTTTTGATGAATTTCTGTTTACAACACTCTCAATATAATATCTTTACATCTACTCTTATTTCCAAAGAACGGTAACGGTGGTTTTGTAAAATTCATTTATATATAATAATAAAAATGTTTTTACCGGAAAAGTGACAGAAAAGTGACAAAACATGAAAACATATATAATTTGTGAAAAGTGAAACATTATATAATGTTTTCGACCCAGAAGAAGGCTTCTTCCCAGAAGCAATGGAGGAAGAAGAAGAGTCCTCCGAATTCACACCAGAAGACTAACAATTTTCCGAATAAAAACTTCATTTATACTAAACATCTTCGGGGCTAGAGGGCACGAAGTGCCTGGAAGCCCCACTACCTTTTTTTTTTTTCAGACGCCCATTCTTTTTGATACTCAACATTCAACATAAAACTTAGCTGTTAAGGCTCTTCTGAAAATATTTTTTTTTTCGAAAAATTTGCGAAAAAAATCAAAAAATTTAAAAATCCCCGAATCTGCAGGGATTTTTAAAAATTCTTTTTAGTAAAACTTAAGGATATTGTATCAGATATATTGGTATGGTCAAATTCAATTTTAATACAATATTCATCGAGATATTGCGCTAACGAAGCGTTCAAAATTGAGAGGGTAATCCTCCTACTCTCAAATAAACTTACATGCGGGTGCACCCTTAAAACTTAAAATTTTGGGAATTTAATATAATTAATATAATATAATATGTATATATATTTAAAATGCACTAAATTTAATTGTTAATTGACGTTTTTGAGAATGAATTTTATCAAAACATGCCTGAATCCGAAAATTTGAAAGAACGAATTACACAATCATATATGTAGAATTCAAAATACAAACTTAAAGATTGTATACGTTTAAAATTATTCAGATTGTGTTTGATTTCCACTCATTCTGTTTCTTTTGAACTCTAACACTAACATTTCATGGTTATTACATGATCCATTTATCCATGGTTGAATTGTTCCAGATTCTACCAGAAAATCAATCCAAATTTCTCAATGCATTCATGTTGATTGGACAAAATTTAAAATTTATCAGCCTGTTTCCAGAGAAACTCATATATTCCCTAATGAAATGTAATTTTTGCTACATTTTTTTCAATCAAATTTCAAAAAATTGACTGCAGAGCTTGAAAAGGTGATGAATCATGTTGTTATTAGATGTACATATTAGATTTACTATTTCCAAAAAAATGCTCAAATTTGAATACTTTTTAGAAAATTTGGAATTACACTCCTTACATTATATATAATTAAATGTTTAAATTTTATTTATTTTTCCTTTCAATTTTATAACGTGCTCTATCAAAACTAACCTCTCAATTGAAGGCCACAAAATCTAAGTAGTGAGGGTACACAAATTTTGTATGGAGTACGTTTCAATTTTTGAGAGCCACACTACTTAGATTTTGTGACTACCTTAGTTATTTTCTTCCTATTTATGTAAATACGAAGAATTACAAATTTTACCCACAAGTAACAGCTTCCTGATATCGATGTTATAGTAAAAGATTTAAGGAATTAATATTAACAGCTTCCTGATATCGATGTTAGTGTTAGAGTTCAAAAGAAACAGAATGAGTGGAAATCAAACACAATCTGAATAATTTTAAACGTATACAATCTTTAAGTTTGTATTTTGAATTCTACATATATGATTGTGTAATTCGTTCTTTCAAATTTTCGGATTCAGGCATGTTTTGATAAAATTCATTCTCAAAAACGTCAATTAACAATTAAATTTAGTGCATTTTAAATATATATACATATTATATTATATTAATTATATTAAATTCCCAAAATTTTAAGTTTTAAACAAAAATAAAAAATGTTCAAAATATGAAATTATGCATATGATATTAAAATTTACATGTAAGCATTTTTTTTGACTTGCTTTCAATTTTCATATTGAAATTTTTAAGATTTTTTTCTGAAATAATAGGCAAGCATATCAACCTAAATAATATTAAATTCCATGCGTTAATTTCCCCTCAAAAGTCATTGACCGCCTCTCAATCTAGATCTTGTGAGTACTTTAGTAAAGCATAGTTTGCCAAAATTTTTTTTAATGTCTTACTTTCTTACATTATAATCTTCATGACACAGAATTAATCACTTTAGCTTAGCAATTCATATTCTCATTAAATCATAAACCATTGAATGTATTGTTCACAAGTATATCCATATAAAACTTAATTATCAATGTCTTCACAATATTTTACTATAAACTATGAATATAAATCTTAAGTTGAATACAAAAATCAGAAAAGCAATAATAAATAATTATATTGTTATGCTGAAATTGCATAAATTATCGAAATATGTCTAGGTATATGTAGAAAGCATTATATATAAAAGGTTAATTAAACTATTGAAATATTATAGTTAAAATTCGAATGAAATAGTAGACAAAGCGTGTACAAAAATATTTTATAGTTATTGGAAGCTTGTTTAGTTCGATATCACATCTCTGATGGGATTAATAATGAAAACTTTGTTTCAATGTTTAGATTTGTTGAAGAAACTATATGCATTATATAGTTCATTTAAATGCAAGCATATTATGAACAGTAATGAACAGTGAAACTCTGATAATGAACTCCGAAAGGCGCTCAGCTACTTATAAAATAATTAAACGATCACTTTTTGTCCGATTTTACAATTATATTTCTATGACAACTAAAGCAGATCAAGGCGTACCAGTCACATCCCTTAACATCCAGCAGATTATGAATCTCAAGAAGCAATTCGAAGAGGAACTTACTCAATTACAAGCAACAATTCAGCTTACAAATGAAACAGTTCTCAAAACACAGCAGGCTAAAGCGGAATTAAAGCAATTCACATCTGTTGAAACAGGAAGAACAATGCTTGTCCCAATTACTGAAAGCCTTTATGTTACAGGAACTGTTTCATCACAGAAGAGACCAATTATTGAACTCGGAACAGGTTACTTTGCTGAAACAAGCGTAGAAAAGGCTGAGGCTTTCTTCAATCGTAGACTTAAGAGATTAAATGCTCAGCAAGAAAATCTTAAGAATTCTTTCAAGGAAAAGCAGCAGCAATATCAAATGGTTGTTCAAGTTGCAAATCAAAAGATACAGGCTACTCAGCAAAAGCAGTAAAGGATATTATTTTTAATATTAATTTATTTTTATTTGATACTGTCTGAATTACATGTGTTTTACTTTAATTTATAAATTAATGAGTTATCATGATATTCTTGAAGCTTAAATTTTAATCTTGAACATGGACATATAAAAAAACTGAGAATTTTATGCAATGAGCTAAAGATCCTTTAATTAACCAATGATGATTAGTATATTTTCCCAACAAATGAAACAAAATAATCATTTTTATTCTTGGTTGATGATCAATCCAATCCCATGGAAATGCCCACCAAAATTTGTGGGTCTCTATGGGATGACAAATTCGAAGTACTATAAAATATTAGAATGCATTAAAAATCTTGATGATACAAAAAATTTAGAAAATACAAACTTCTTTTGCAACGAAATAAGTAGCAAAATAAATTACGAGAATCTTATTGATGAGATTTCTGATCAAGAACCATCTACAATTCAAGTTTTTGCCGAATTAATTTTGCAAAAAATAGAATATGTTATTCCAAACATTCAAAATGGAGCAATGATGTCAATAATAGAGTCTAAAGCTCTGAATTCTGTTTCCAAATTTACTGAATCACTTAAAATCGGATTTTTATTATTTAAAATCTCTAAAATAGACACGATTTCAGACATTGTAAATATAGCAAATGAAGCAACCAAGTATATCATTAATTCGGAGACTTCAATTTCAATACAATTTTGTAAATCTTTTTTTAGAAAATTATATTCCATTCTTGACAACGACAAAACGCTTCATAATGAGAAGATTTCAGTAGTATCAAGGAATTACGTTATATTAGTTCGCTACACGAACACATTAATATCAAAAATCATCAAAGAAAAACCACAAATTTTTGCAGATGATGAATTGAATGGAATTTTATGGAGTTTTTTAGAAAGATTAGATCTTATTGCTCCATCACCTTTCTTTTTTGTGGACCATCCAGAAAATTGTACTTTAACTGCTGCAATAACATTATCCATAATAATTGGCGAAATTATTGCTTCAATTGAAACAGGAGAAGATTTTGCGAAGACAATTATTGCATTTCATAGTTACTGTCCTGTTCAAACACGTGATTGCTTGTGGTATTACGCTCAAGAACATTCCCAAATTGTTTATGATGAAATTGAGAACTCGCAAAGCCTTATTGACATATTTTGTGAGAATAGAATTGATGTTGATCTATTCAATACACCTTTTTTCATCAAATCCGTTCAGGGAGAAGCAAAATCGTTTTATGAATTTCCAGATCCAGACGTAATGGAAAGATTACTTGTTAGAAGAATAGATTATGAAAGGGTGATATCATTTGGCCTAGTTAATGATAGTTTACTTGTAAATGAAGATATAATTTTTGCAATTTTAACAGAAGGCATAGCTGGTATCAAAATTGATATGGGAAATATGAATATTAATGGTATGTTATTGAAATTTGAAACAGTTTTAAACTGTGTCGAGTTAATTTCGAGATATTCTGGATATAATGAGAAAAATGTTCAGAAATTTGTACAAATTGTTGACTTATATTTAATATCACCACTATATAACCCAAATTCAAACGCCGTCACCTATCCAGAAGCGAGAATTAGAAAATTATTGGATTATCACGTTCAATTGATGAAGCAATCACCAAATATATTTATTTATTATGCCTTTACTAATCAAAATCATCTATCTTCTGTATTTTTTATTAGTTATCTTTATGAAAATTTACATCCTGAGGATTCTCTTAACATTGTGAAGTTATTTGTCACAGCAAACATGAAACAAGCATGGATATCCCTTCATTTATCCACAGAAATGGCAAAGAACGTGGCATCTTTTTCAAAAGATTCGAGATTTTGTTTTGTTATATTAAGATGTCTCGTTGACGCTTTTCTTATGAATGCTGATGATTTGGCAAGTGGATGTTACATACTACGGTTGTTTTCAAAGCTTGTTTCTTGCAAAGAATTCAGCGAAGAGTTTAACTCGAATAAAATGTTTCTTGCCCTTCTGGATGCCACTAAAGAATACAACCATGAAGAGTATAATTACTTAGTTCGTAAAATTAAGAAACGGTTCTTTTAATTTTTAGGTTTTGTTTTGTTTTTAAGGGTGCACACGAGAGGATCATGTAAACTTCAGAATTTAGAACCTTATTTTTAGGCATTATCTTGGCTACCTATTTAGGCTCGAAAAGCAAAAAATATCAAAAAATACAACTTGACTCCATTCTGACCCTTTCATGGAGGTAGTTTTTATCCGCTAGTATTTTCCCTTTGAATCTCTTTACAATTCGAAATCAAATTCAAAACTCAGTAGAAGAAAGGAAGAATCGACTTACTACGGTTGTAATACGAATAAATACATATATTTAATTATTTTTATTTACATAATAACTGTTTGAAGCTCATATTCCAACAAATTTTTAAATAAAAACATTAAAATGTTGAAAATGTTCATATATTTTAATAGGGTTTTGGCACTTTATTGAGGAATTACTACATACATAGTCGAACTGAACTTGATATTTTGAAATTTAAATTATTTATCAAAATTAAAATTTAACTTGAAATTTATAATTATTTAGTCATATTTTGCATAATTCTAAGTAGATTTTGTAAAAAATCAAGAAAGAAAAATTTTAACGTGCTTTATTTTTTCTTTTTTATAATAATACATATTATTATATAATTAACATATTCATAATGTTTCACCCTTTCAAAAATATAATCCTCCTCCTCTCAAATAAACGTACATACGGGTGGCCTCTTTTTTCAAAAAATTAAAATTTGAAATTTTGGGCTCAAATATTAGAGATTTTTTCAACCTTCAACGATATATGTTGTCTATATCAGACCTCCTTTCTTTTTGATACTTAACATTGTTCCTAAATCTTAGCCGTTAAGGCTGTTCTGAAAATATTTTTTTTTCGAAAAAATTCAAAAAAAATTCTTAAAATTCAAAAATCCCTTAATTCCTGAGGATTTTGGAAAAAAGTTTTTACATGAACATGTGTATATTATATGAAGTATATTGATAAGGTAAAAATCAAATTTTATTGCATATTCATCGAGAAAATAAACTAACGAATCCCTCAAAATTGAGAGGGTAATCCTCCTCCTCTCAAATAAACGTACATACGGGTGCACCCTTAATAAATAGAGATGTTTTATAAATTTGTTTACCTTCATTTTTAGTATGCTTAAGTTTATTGATATTTTTCATTGACATTTCACACGTAATGCCAGAAACTTGCATCATATATACTTAAGTGTTTCCTTACTCATAAATGAAAATCAATGTGTGTTGAAACCTTTATTGATATATACTTAAGTGTTTACTTACACCAGCATGATATTGCCTTCAACTCTTGTGTTTAAAGTTGATTTTCAATGATACTTAGCACATGATGTCAGAATTTTGAATAAAGTCAGATGGGCTAAAGTACACTCTAAAAATTTATACTTTTCCGACGTTTTGTCAGGGGCGCGCCCAAAAATGTCGTAAAAGTGTAATTCCTAGGTATATGATTATTTTTGCTTTTATCGCCGAACAGTATTTGAATCAAAAATAATCGTATGTCTGAGAATTTTACTTTATTTTCCTGATTAGATTTAAACCATATGCTCAAGAGTATCGATTGTATATAGACCATATATACTTAGTGATTTAAAAACGGTTTCGCCAATTGGCGAATTACTGAAAATTCGCTAATTCAGCTTGATTTATATGAATTTGGCGAACTCAAAAAGTGACATAATTTTTATTGATCTAGATATAATCATTCATAATTGCCCATATGCCAAATATTTACAGTATGTTTATAACTTTATTACAAATAGTTATGATGTGGTGCAACTTGCATTTTCTATATAGAATTATGGTGTCTAGACCTATAAAATTGTCAGAAAAAAAAACATATAAATGTATACATTTATTCTTTATCTTTAGCAGCAGCCCTATTGTTTACATGCTCTGTGATTCCGATTTGTTTTACATTTATAACGCGAAGCATTCTCTGCATTTCGCGCATTTCAGCACGTATTGGATCAAAATTGGAATTCAAAGCCTGAGATTTTGAAATTATTTCTTTTGCATGGGCATCTTGAGCGAAATCTTGTCTTTTTATCTTCTGTTCCAAGTCAAGAATCTTCTTCGCAAGCAGATCGGCCATTTGCTTGAGTTTTTTGTCAAGTTTGTTTTCTGGATCTAATTCTTTCCTTTCTTCTCTTAATCTCGTCTTTATCTCTTCGGAAATACGTTCCTCAATATCTCCGAAATGTTCCGAAATCGCTTCAAACTTTTCTTCGAATTTAAGCTTCTCAAGACGTTTAATTCTTTTATCAACTGACTTCATTTCAATAACTATTTCATTGTAGTCGTTGGTGATATCTCCTGGCTGTCTTGGCTCTTTAAACGTAGAAAAGAACTTCATAAGTTGGAAATTCGTGAAAATTTGCTTTGAATATTCAGCTGTAAGTGTTTGAAGATCAACATACCTAAAAAGCTCATATAAATTGGTATCTAATGTAGGAATTCGATCGCATAGGTACTTATAAAGTAACTGAGAGTCATTTAAAACTTTAATTGGTGATTTTAGAATTAATGCTACTGTAGAATATGGAATTTTGGCGAAGCTTTCATCTTTTAAGGCAATGTCAAGTTGAGATGATATAAGGTTGCATAGAAGATTTGTATATTTTTCATTTTTTGAAGAAATTAGTTCCTTTAAAGATAAAGTCATATCATAGTTATTATTGTAATACTCTATAAGCGTGTCAAGCAACGTAGATACTTCCCAAGTCGACGCAAAGCGTAATAATGAATAAATATTTTCTTTTGTTATTGGGAATTCGTGTCCGTGGGCTGCATCAATGAATGTCTTGAATGATTCTAATGAAGGTATGTCGTCGTATTTAAATGTTGTTGCTGTGAAAAAATCAGGAATTGTTCTAAAAAACGCAGAATAGCAGCCTAAAACAAATTTTGATACAGGAACATCGGTTCCATTATAAATTATAGTAAAATCTGTGGTATTTTGAGAAGGAATCGGGAGTGTTTGATATTCTCGTTTCATCCTCCAAAAAAATGACTAAGTATAAATTCAAAATGATGATATGCATTTTCTTTATATGTGATATATAAACTTTTTAAATCAATATCTTATACTTTTCATGATAAATTAAAACAATAGAAAAGATAATTATAGATAGCCAAGCGTATTCTACTTCTCACTGGATAAACAGTTATAGAATCTCTAATTTTGAATCAAAAAGCATTGTTCACCAATCAGGATCTCAGATCTAACCGATGTAAATAGATAATCCGCCAATATTACTATTATCTAAGAATACAGCGGTATAGTGGTTAAAAGGAATAGTCTTTTTTAAATGACGAAAATTTTCAAAAGAAGATTCTTTGAAATGAGTGGGGGACAAACTCGCCCGTTGTCACCTTTCATTAACCTTAAACTTGTAATTTTCATTATTTTTAATTAACCTTATTTCTTTCCCAATTCCTGATTTATTTTATTCACTTACTATTAAAAGTCACATTTTAATAAAATATAATAATTTATTTATAGCATTTTTTACTATACTGTAATAAAAAATTAATTATAATAAATTAAATGTTTATTAAATCAAATGTTTTCTTTGCAATAATATTTTTAATGTTGAGTAAACAATGTTGGGATCAAGTGTATCATTTTTCAGACCTTTCTGAACAGCTTCAAGCATACTGATGCATTCGACTTTTTGAAATTGTGTCATTTCTTCGAAATCTCTTGTGACTTTTTTGATAACTTTAACACTTCTCTCTGAATCCAGACCTTTAATTTGCAACTTAATCAGGAATGAAGGAACAACACTGGAATATAACTCGATGACAAGTTCATCGAGTCGAAGATTTCGCCTTTCTGGGAAGTACTGGTGCTTCAAAACCTTGAAATGTGATTCCGAGATGTTGTTTGTTCCATCTCCTTCATTTCTATAGCGAAGCATCCACCTGTCAAGATGATGGCGCCACTGTCGGTCAAAGTATTCACGGGCAGCAGGTTCCTCATTTAAATTTTCTTCTAAATTGTTGTAAACTTCATCAGGATCAATTTCTTCCTCTTCAGAACCAAAGACCAATAACTTCATTAAGTTATAGAAAGTTTCGAAGTTGGAACGATCTTGAAACTTTTCAGCCTTTCTCATGACAGCGCGCAACACATGAACGCCACACCAAATGATCTGGCATAAGGGGATGGCTGTTTCAACAGCATTTGTGATTTGAGGTGCGCAGTCCATTGAAAAATAAGATGGTTCGCGATTGATGGAGCCAAAATATGCTGTGAGACAAACTTGTATATTTTCACTTGTGTCGGGCCAAACGAAAAAAATACAAAAACGGAAAAACAATTGATTCCGCGAATTTGCCAGTGACGGCATAAAATGGTATGCGAGAGCGCAAGAGCTTATAAGTGGAATCAATGTGATAAGTTTGTATTTGATGTGAAAAAGCATTTGCTTCGAATGGGGCGTAATAGAAAATCATACGATCTGGCTCGTGAATAAACTCGATGAGATCATCTGGAGAATGACTCTTAACCATGTCGACAAAAATTGCAAGAGATGTAACATCATCCGCTGAGAAACGGGTATTGATTGCTTGAAGGCGTTTAGAAAACTTTTTTAAAGCATCTGTAGATTGTTGAAACATTTCCGGAATGATCCCACTATCAAATGGGATATTAAGATCTTTGAAACACCTTAATTGTGCGTAAACACGGTCTTGATTTGATTCAAAATATCTTGTTAAATAAGATCTATAAAAATATGATGTAATTTGTTGTGATTTGTTTGGAAAAGGGGCAGAATGATTGTGGGTGTTAATACATTTTCGTATATGGTACTTGTCATCGGGAAGTGTATCAACAAGGAAGCGACATGGACAATTCGGCCACTTACAATTAAATTGGATTTGATTTCTTTCTTTCCTAGTTTTATATGAATAACTACAACCTGCTTGGATTTCTTGTTGCACTCCATACTTAAGCAACTCGATATATGTGAGTTCGTGATCTTGGAACTGCATTAAAATGAAATGATTTGAAAGAATAAAGAATTTTGAATATATTGGTCTTATTTTGATAAGCTTGGTCGTGTTTTGAATAGCTTGAACATCTAATTCAATTATGATCTTTGAAAATTAGGTGAAATAAAACTAAACATAAATGTAAAACTAGGGATATGAAATTTTGGTTGTACACCACTTGTATGTGCCGGATACCATTGTGTCAAATTTTTTCTGAAATTAACTTTAAAAGTACTAAGTAAGATCATGAGATATAGCAATATATGTTTAAACCAACTTATATTTTGGTTGTACACCACTTGTATGTGCCGGATACCATTGTGTCAAATTTTTTCTGAAATTAACTTTAAAAGTACTAAGTAAGATCATTTATTTTTGCATAATATAATGCCAATATGGTTTCTTTTGATTTTATTTCATTTATAAGCAAATCAGATTTACCCAAAAACTCCACTCAGTTAGTATGGTTAAGTTGGGTACTGTGGCACTGCGCGCCTCCGTACACCACTTAACGGTTTTGACACTTTACGTAACCGGTAACGTATATTTTACAACACAAACGACAACACTAACTTAACCTTAAATATTTACAAAGCCACCAACCACTTCACTAACGAACTCACTAATGTAAAAAATAAACGTTCTCACTATCGTTCTCACTAACGACTTCACTAATGTTCTCATAAATTTTCCTCAATATCTTCATCATCAGTGTTAACCCTATTGTAGTCATACTTGAAGCCATAAACTTTCTCTAACTTCTTAACGTACAATTTACATAACTTACCTTCGTCATCGTATGGTTTAATGATATAACTATTTCTATCTTTATACACAGTCAATGAAAAGTCAACTGGTCTCGGATGTATTTGAAAGAACATGTTATGCTCAGGAAGGAAGAATAAATGTTTAAATGTATGTTTGTTATACTGTGGAATTCGAATGAGTTGCTTCTGTTCTGTCATTTACATCCAAATAAAAATTTTCAGTAAAAATAAAAAATAAACTTAAAAATTAATGATATCACCACCCTCACACGTATGAAAACATAGCGCAAAAATAAATTTAGGTGAAGTGGTGAGATTTCACCTCTTTTTTCACCTGTTTTTTCACCCACTTGAATTCATTGCTTTATAACTCTCTTCCTTTCTCCAACTCTTCTAACTTCTTCTTAAGTTCAGCAATGTTGTCCTCATGAAGTTTAATCTTTCTCAAAATTCCTTCTTTATCTAATGGTTGCTTTATCTTTCTAAACTGAACTCTACCATCCTTCATAGTATGAATGTAAAAACCTTCTGGAATAGTTCCTGATTTAATGTATTCTACCAAAAACTTTTGTTTCATTGCTTCAGTGACTTTATTTGTCATTTCAATCAAATAAAAATTTTAATATTAAATAAAAATAACGTTATTTTTCAGTAAGGAAACGCAGGAGTTTTACGATTTATTTGAGGAGTAGGTTCTGGTTTAAATGTTGGAGTCGGTTTAGGAGTTGACTTTTGAACAGGAGTTTGTACTTCCATAGGTTCAGGAGTTATTGAAGGTTTTGCTTGTGAAGGCGTTGGTTTTGGCGATGGTGTCGGAGTTTGTTCAAATTCAGCTACTTCAGTATTATTTATAACATTTGCTTTGTTTCTTTTCAACATCATTACTGCTCCTGCTGTAGCTAGCAAACCTAGTGGGAGACCATATCTTATATAAGGACTTGACCAAATGCTATTTTTGACAGGAGCTGGTGGAACACATAACCTTGGTGAGACTGCTCTTTGCCATTGTGCAGCTCGTAAGAAATATTCAATAGGTGCTCCATAATCGTTTGGTAAAGTTTGTTTCATAGATGGTGAAGGTTCGCGAGAGCTTGATGAAGAACTCATTTATAAGCTTTAAAAATAAACGTTCATCCTTTATTCCTCACTGTCGTCCGTGGCTAAGTTATAGTCATCTAATCTTATTATGGGGATGCCATTAGCACGCACCTGAATGGCAAAGCAACAATCCCTCATAAATCCAATAAGTGGCTTTGGTACGTTTTCAGTTGCTAGTTCAATAGGTCCTTTAACAGACAATTTGTATGTTATTGGAGCAGTAGATGTTTGACCTTGTTGGAAGCAAAAGTCCACTTCTGTTGGAAAACCACATAAGAAATGTGTGTTGTCATAGCTATCCCATTTATGTTCCACACTACCATCATCCACCAATGACCTCATAACATCTTCATTAAATCCAATCATATCATTGTTTGTATTGCAAGCGTTCGCAACCATTTCATAAAATACAGGTCCATATGATTTTTCAGGTTCTGCAGGCATATTTCCATAAGCTCCCATGGAAAGCTGAAGATATTTAAACTTAGGGTTCTCAAAATTAACATAATAGTTGTCTTTCTTTCTAAATAGTGCCCAAATACTTTTAACATTAATAGGCGTATAAGCTGCTGTAAATGTTGCACTTGAACTATCTGTATTCTTTGAGAATGAACCATCCATAGGAATCCAATCCATAACTTTAACAGGAAAACATAAAGCCTCGTTTGTATAATGTTCTACAAGTTCTGTATAAATGTTAGGGTCTAAAGAGAATGACTTTGGATGAATGAAACATTCATTAAAATCCATCTTTGTTCGAAATAGTTGCTGGTTTACAGTTGTAATAGTAACTGTTCCACTAGCTTCTACTGCCTTCGTTATCATAGTGAATGGTTCATTCCATGGAACAAATTTATTTGTCGGTGGATTTGAATCTGAAGCAAATGCAACTTTAAGAGTTGGATTGAAAGCAATGATATCATTTACAGATATAGATGTGCATTGTAAGGCGTCGCTACTGAACTTTACTTTAAGCTGAATGTTTCCTGCAAAAGCTGGAATAAATCGAATAGCTTCTAATGGAAGGAATCTTCTAACAAATTCTTAAACGAAGCTTAAAATCAAATGATTTTCCTGCTGTAATTGGACCACTAACAATTTGTCCTGTTCTGCATGTTCCCGAATGACTCCA